AGTTGTCCGCTGACCGCCACACTCATGTACACACATATAAACATACAAAAGAGTGTCACGAAAGGTCCTTTGGTGATTTGTGTGCAACCGAGGCTGAAAGTTAGGGGTTCTGTAACTCGAGTGTGCATCAGCCATCACCAGCAAGTGATGGTAAAACACAGATCTCTGGATGCCAGCCCCAGAGGACCTAATTCAGCTGAATGAAGTCTAAAAGTCTATGCTTCTAACTGGCTCAAGTGATGCCAAAGCTGCTGGTCTAAAGAACACACTGGAAAAGTAAAGCGCCATCTAGAGTACTGGTGTTCAGCTTTGGCAGCATATTAGAATCACAAAATGTATGGAGGGTACATGTTAAGAATAGTAATACCTGATGTCCCAACCCAGGGAAATTGATAAAGGATACCAACTGAAGGTTTTTAACCATAAATAAAAATACTTTTAAAGTTTGCAGGCAAGTGAGTGTTGGGCAGATTAAGTCAGTCTTAGAAAGACAAATACCATGTTTTCTCTCACATGTGATTCATAGAGTTTAAATATATATACAATTAGATATGACCTAAAAGTAGAATCGAGAACTGTCTAGGTGATGAAAAGAAAAAGAAACTAACATGAATGGAGTGAGGAGGCTTTGCAGGGGGAAGAGATGGCCAGTGTATAAGTGTATTTTTAAATGAAGATGTCCTTATGTAATGGTACCATATATGCTGTATAAAGACAAAGTTGTTAAAGAAATCTCCAAGAGCAATAGCTCAAATAGCAAAAGAACCCAAAAGAACGAAAGCATTTTTAAAAAACAAAAAGAAAACATCCTTATGAAATACAAGCTGTCTAATAACTATGTGCTAAGAAAAAATGTAAAGGAAGAAAAGAAGGCTCATCCCTGGGCCTTTCCCTGCAACAATGAATCTGTGTGTAGTCCAGACTGGCCTTGAGCTCACAGCTAGTCTGCTGCATTCGTCTTTCAAGTTACTGGGATTACAGGCATAAGCATCGAAACCCGGATCCCTTCTAATGTTTTTAAGTGATTATGTACTGTCCTGTGTAGTGTGTGTATTTCTGTATACAATGTTGTCTTGACATCTTGATTAACTTTGTGGCTAAAGATTCTACCAGTCCCCATAGGGCTAGGCAATTTGTGGAGACAGAAAGGGCTGAGCCCAAAGCTATGTTAGTCAGCATTCCATTACTGAAACGTGATTCTTAAGATAAACAACTTGAAAGCTTGTTTTAGCCCACATTTCTGGTCCACGGCCATTTAGCCCATTGCTTTTGGGCTGGTAGCAAGTCACGTCAGCAGGACAAAGGAACATATGGTAGAGAAAAAGCTTGTCACTCCATGATAGCCAGGAAGTAAAGAGAGGGAGAGGAAATGAGCAGGATTCCAATATCCCTGTCAATGATCTAACTTCCTTCCATGAGATCACGGGTTCTCAAGCTGCGGGTCACAGTCCCTTTGGGATCAAATAACCCTTTCACAAGGGTGGCATATCAGATATTTACATTATGGTCCATAACAGTAGCAAAATCGCAGTTATGAAGTAGCAATGAAAATGATTGTATGGTTGGGGGGAGGTCACTACAACATGAGGAACTGTACTAAAGGGTTGCAGAATTAGGAAGGTTGAGAACCACTGCACTAGACCCTACCACCTAAAAGTTCCATGACCTCCCAATGGTACCCCAGGTGAAGAACAAGCTTTTGACACGTGGGCCTTCAGGAACATTTCCAGGTCTAAACAACAGTATCTCTGGAGAATAAAACAGCCATTTTAGATCATACTTCCTGCAACCACCCCGAATATCCAGAAAGGCAACACTCTTCTACCTTTAGCGTCCCAGGCCACGTGGCAGACACTAGAGGCCACCCCTATAGCTGAAAGACCTGCCAAAACTGTTCAAACTAGTTGGATATAAACCGCTGTCACTTCTCCACCTTTCCTGAGGAAAACCCAAAGAATAACACTGCCTAAACCTTTCCTTCATATTTGCCTTCTGCCTGCTGATGATTCTCGTGTCTTCCCTATGTAGACCTGTGGCAAACTTCATACTCTAGCACTATAAATGTATACTATGCTGTGTTCTTGAACTTCCATGTCTCTTCTTGCTGCCGCACCTGACTATCTCCGAAAGCAATGCACAACATTAGTGGTGAGTAGTGGCACATAGTCATAATATAATTCAATATAATATGAGGGATAAAGATCAGCCTTAGCTACATAAGGAGTCTGAGGCCAGCCTTAGGCTAATTGAAACCTTGATTCAAAACACCAACAAAGCAGGCTGGAAATGAACCTCGATTGATAAGAGCATTTGCTTAGCATGGGCAAAGCCCTGGGTTCAATTTTCCAGCATGACATAAAAATTAGGTCTGATTGTACACACATGAAAATGAAACAGAACTCAGGAGACAGAAGCAGGATGATTAGAAGCTAAAGGCCATTCTTGGCTGTACTGTGTGGAAGACAACCTGGAATACATGACATCCTATGGTGGTCTGAATGACAAAATCCCCCATAGGCATAGATTTGTATGCTCAGTCCCAGAGGCTGCACAGCCCAGAGACCTAGAATAGAACCAAAGATGATTGGCAAAAAGTGATGTCTAATGACAGTCTGCTATACTTGCTGCCTAGACCAATGGTCATCAGAGAGGCTTCACCCAGAAACTAGCGGGAACAGACACAGAGACCCACAGCCAAACAATTGGCAGACCTTGGGAAATCCCATTAAGAGGGAGAGGAAGGATTGTAGGAGTCAGAGGGGTCAAGGACACAACAAGAAAACCCACAGAATCAACTAACCTAGGCTCACGGGGGCTCACAGAGACTGAACTGACAACCAGGGAGCTTGCGTGGGACTGACCTAGACTCTCTGCACATATGTTACAGTTGTATGGCTTGGTCTTCTTGTGGGACTCCCAACAGGAGCAGGGACTGTCTGGCTGCTACCTGCTTTTGGAGACCCTTTCCTCCTACTGGGTTGCCTTGTCGAGCCTTAATGGGCGAAGAGGTGTCTAGTTCTACTGCAATTTGATATGTCAGGGCTGGCTGATATACATGGGAGGCTGCCCTTTTCTAAAGAGAAAGGAGGAATACTAGATAGGGGAGGGTATTAGGTAAGGATTTGGAAGGAAAGGAGGGAGGGAGGGAAAACTGATGGGTCTGGGAAATAAATAAAAAAAGAAAGAAAGAAAGAGAGAGAGAGAGAGAGAGGGAGGGAGGGAGGGAGGGAGGGAGGGAGGGAGGGAGGGAAGGAAGGAAGGAAGGAAGGAAGGAAGGAAGGAAGGAAGGAAGGAAGGAAGGGCCTTGTTGGAGAAGGTGTGTCACTGGGAGGGGGCCTTGAGCTACTGCTCTGGAACCTTGCCTTCCATTGTGCCACCACACTCTCTACCATGATGATAATGGGCTAACCCTTCGTAACTGCACGCAAGCCCCCACTTAAATGCTTTCTTTTATAAGGGTAGCCTTGTTCATGGTGTCTCTTCACAGCAACAGAACACTAAGACAGACGCTACTGCAAAAATATACAATATTTTTTATAAGTTTTAACAGCTATCTTCTTTTGAGAAGCAGTCTGCTTTCGGAGCAATTAGAACTAAGACAAATTTTAATTACCTGTTGAGCTGATTATTATGTTGTAAGTCTGGCCACACATGCTAACTTCCTTGGCTTCCAACCATGAGTATTCAAAATATATAGCATAAATGGCTAGGCAACCACCCAAGGACAATTCCAGAATCGAAAAGTTCATGGACTACAGATGAGTGAATACAGTTGGTCTCAATATCCACTTTATTATAGTGTGTACTGGATTACTAGAGGCTTCTGACGCTGTCTTCCCCCATAACACTCAGCACAATCAGAAGTATTCAGCCCCTACTTTGAGAGTTTCTTAACCCTTCTGGGTATCTCTACTGACCAATTCTCCTTCTACAGGTAAGAAATAAATGGTGCTACTGCTCCTAGAAATAACCACATTTTCTTTTTAAGTTTTTAAAAAACTATTTTGTTAATTATGTATATTTGCATGTGGGTGAGTATGGGTTTGTGCATGTGAGCGAGTGTCCATGGAGGTCAGAATAAGGTATCGGATCCCCTGGCCTACAGTTACAGGCAGTTGTGAGCAGCCTGTCATGGGTACCAGCAATCAAACCTAGGAATTCTGCAAGAACTATATGTGCCTGGGTGATGCTGAGCCGTTTCTTCTGCCCTGGACATAAGCACATTATCAAAGGACATTTTAGAAGTGTCAAAGTCTAGACAACCTAACTGCCCTGTAATCACTACATAACATTGTCTGCTTTTGTGTGTATGTAGTGTGTGTGTGTATGTATATGTGCATGTACGTATGTATGTATGTATGTATGTATGTATGTATGTATGTATGTACCTGTGACTACACTTGTAGAGGCCAGCAGTTGATAAACATTTTCCAAGTCCTTTTTTTGAGAAAGAGTCTCTCACTGAAGCTGGAGCTCACTTCTTAGCTAGACTGGCTGGTCAGGAAAGCTCTCAGGATCCCCCTGTCTCCAGTTCCTAGCACTGGAAGAACAGACCTGTTATTTGAAAGTGAATGGTGGACTCGAAACTCAGGTACTTGTGTATGTGCAATAAGCAAGTGACCTACTTAGCTTCCCCACCCCGCCCTTTTTTTTCCCCCAAGACAGAGTTTCTCTGTGTAGCTTTGGAGCCTGTTCTGCAACTCACTCTGTGGATGAGGTTGGCCTTGAACTTACAGAGATCCACCTGCCTCTGTCTCTCAGTGCTAGAATTAAAGGCATGTACCACCACCACCTGGCTCCCTAGCCCCTTCTTCTGCTTTGTAAGAAATCCAAGGAGTTTGGAGCATTCAAAGCTAGGCAAATATGGGTAATCCCAAAGAAATATGACAAGCTATAGTTCAATCCGCCTCAGAGGAGGCCAGCTAAACTCTAGCTGGGGATACAAAGACTGGTTTCCTGGGAGGCACATCCATGGTCTCCAATGCAGCAACAGGCCAAACCTGATGATGTCCCTGAAACTTCAGCCGTAGCAGCCTGCAGTCTCCTAGCCTTATCGAGTGAAGAGGAGTACCAGTTCACAGTGTGGGGTGTGGGGAAACAAATCCACGGGTACAGCTTCTCTCAGGACAAAGGGTTCACCGAGGAGCTTCTTAGCAGAGTTTGGAGGACAGCACAGCCTGTAGAAAGAGACCATAGGATCAGTTCACAGAAAAAAAGAGAAGCAACTACCAGACTTAAAATTGAAGTTCTTCCTCTGTAGTCACACAGGCCCATGTGTCTGGCATCTCCATGACCCATTATTTCCATGTAACTGTTTTGCTTAGCCATCTTCCTCACTAAAATACAAATGTTCAACTTACAGCGAGGTTATGGCCCAACAAACCCATTGCAAGCCAAAAAATACTAAATCAAAATGCATCTAAAGGACTGCGAACATGCTTCAGTTGTCAAAGTATCTGAGTTCAATGCCCAGAATCCATGTAAAAAATGTAAAGTGTGTTGGCATATGCTTGCAAACCAGTTCTAGGGGGTGCAAAACCAAGCAGATCCCTGGGGCTCACTGCTGGCCAGCCTAACCTCCTGGGTGAAATCCAGGCCAGTGAGAGAGTCCCATCTCAAAACCCAAGGCAAATGGGTCCTGGGGAAACAACACCTTTAGGTTGTCTTTTGGTGCATACACACATGCACATAAAAATGCATCCAAGTAGCTGGGGTAAATCTCAGTCTCTGAGTTAGAGCATATGATTAGCATGTACAAATTTCTGGATTTGAACCCTATACATATATATATTATATAATTTATATATGTATGTAAGGTATATATTATCAAACATCACAGCTTACATTCATAAGACCCTAAGACAGGTACCCACTAAACTCTCCTAAAAAGGTTGTTCCAATTTCTACCAACTCTTTTATAGTTTTACACTATCAGACTTTTTTTTTACCATATGTACACAGTATCTTGCTGAAATTGAAACTGCTTTGCCTTTTTGAGGACATGTTTAGTAATTTTCTCAGTGTGATATCTGAATTCTAGGTTTAGTCTTAACCACTGCATTTTAAAATTCACTGTTATTATATATAATGTGCAGTATAATGAATACTTTCATCTGAGTCAAAATGGAATAACATTAAGAGGTACACAAGGTAATCGCCTTTGCCATCTCTCATATGTCCCCAGTTCTTTCTTTATAAAATATTTTTAGATTTATGTAATTTTCATGTGTATGAGTGTTTTGCTTGTATGTATGTATATACACAACATACGTGCCTGGTGTCTGGGGAAGTCAGAAAAGGGCACCAGGTCATCAGAAATTGGAGTTGCCCATGGTTATGAACCACCACATGGGCACTGAAAACCAAACTCGAGTCCCTCTGCAGGAGCTCAAGTGCTCTTAACCCCTTAGCCAGTTCTACAGCCCTGTTCCCAGTTCTTTCTAGACAAAGACAATTAATTGTTATTAGGGTCTATTTCTGAAGGGGGGTCCTTCCATTAATTCATTTTTAAAGAAAACATACAAAGTGATGGGCTTCCTTGAGCTATTTTCATTCACTTATATCATATCATTCTCATTAATTTTTTTTGCTCCTCCACCCTTCCTTGTGCTTCCTGTCTTTCTGACTGAGTCTCTTCCTTCCCCCAGGGAGCTCCTGCTTCCACTTACCATAGTCCCTTAAGATTCCCTTGCTATTTTATATTCCATACACAAACTCACACATACATGCACAAATGTTTATAATGTAGACTCCATGTATAAGAGAAAACATTTAGCATTTGTCTTCCTAAGTTTGTCTTATTTCACTTAACATAATATTCAATAATCAAATTTCCTGCAAATGTGATTTCATTCTTCAAGATTTACCTTTTCATCATGTATATGTGTGTGTGTGTGTGTGGTGCATGTAAGTGCACACACATGCAAGCATGCATGTGAACACATGCAAGCACATGCATGTGAATAGCTGCCCAAGGAAGCCAGAGGTGTTCGAGTCCCCTGGAGCTGAAGTCACAGGTGGTTATAAGCTGCCTATTGTGGGTGCAGGTGATGAAAGTCAGTGGTACATTCTCTTAACTGCAGAACCATCTTTGTAGCCTCAATTTAATTGCTCCTTATCAGTGTCTCATATAACTGACTAGAGTCTCTCTATGAAAGTATAAGTATAAGCACGTTCTTCTCATCCTTCAAATTAACCTAGTATATGAACAATTCTATACCTTACTAGTTCTATTTAGTGACAACCTTATCTCAGAACTTAAATCAAAAGTCACAAAAATATACTTGACTGCACTTCAAAAGATACTATTGAGCCATGTATTGTAGCGCACACCTTTAATCCCAGCACTCAGAGGCAGAGGCAGGCAGAACTCTGTGAGTTTGAGGCCAGCCCAGTCTACAAAGCAAACTCTAGGATAGCCAGAGCTACACAGTGAGACAATGTCTCAAGAACACAAATGGAGAAGGAGGACGAGGAGAAGGGAGAGGAGGCAGAGGAAGAAGAGGAAGAGGAGGAGGAATTGGGGATGTAGCTCCGCAGCAGTGGAGTACTCACTGGCTTGTATGAGGCGCGGGATTTGATATCTAGCAATACCCATGAACACAAACAGAGACATGAACACAGAAAACAAAGAGAGAACAAGCAGAGAGGGATTTCTCCAACTCATATACTTGACATGGAACTTCTAGCAAATATACAGAAGAATTCTAAAAACTCAACAGTAGAAAGTCAACCCAGTTAAAGATGGACGTAAGATCTCAATCTTGTATTAACCAGCAAATATCTCCAGGTTTATAGCTGACTAAAAGAGGAGCTGGAAAAATAGCTCCTTTGGCAGACTGCTAGTCTAGCCTGCACAAAGACCCGGGCTCAATCCTCGGCACTTCATAACCATATTCAATGGTGCATGCCTGTAATCCTAGCTTGAAGGAGATGAAGGCGGGATCACAAATTCAAGGTCAATCTGGGCCATCATGGAATGCATGAGACCCTATCTCCAAAGAAAAATGCAAAAAGATATATTAAAAAAAAAAACTCTCAGCCTAGCAATGGTGGCTCACGCCTTTAATCCCAGCACTCAGGAGGCAGAGGCAGGTTTGGTTTACAGAGTGAGTTCTAGGACAGGCAGGTACTTGGAGAAACCCTATCTTGAAAATGCAAAAACAAACAAACAAAAAGAACCATTCAAAAACCTTTAGTCATTGGGGAAATGGAAAGAAAAGCCACAATGATATACTGAATTGCCATCTTAAGGAGGAAAAAGGCAGCAACCAGAGCTTAGGATATACCTCACTGGAAGAATACCTGCCGACTAGGACACAAGTGGTCCTGGGAGTCATTGCCAGCACGGCAAAATAGTTTTTTTTTAAGTCAATAACGAGACTTTGTGAAGGTACAGGAGAAATATAGAGAAAGTGGAATACTACTGTTGGTACAATAGGGCAGCTGTTTGAAAACCAAGCGAAGCTCCTCAGAGGGTTCAACTAGTTTCCATTATGGGCCAGCAATTCCCCTCCCAGGTCTTTCTCAAAGAAAAATGAAAGAAAAACTTGCACGTGAATATTCATTGCAATGTTATTTATAAAAGCCATCAACCCATGAGCAGATAAGTAAGAGACAATATATACATACAATATTATTCCCTTTTAAGGGCAAAAAAAGAAAATGAAACACCAATAAATGTTAAGCACAGATGAACATCACACACATTATGCTAAGTGAAAGATGTAAGGAAGCACACAATACATGACACAATTCAATTCAATGAAATGCCAGGCAAAGCCTTAAACAGAAGGCACATTACGGGCTGCCTAAGGTCAGACAGCAGGGGTGGAGATAGGCAGTGATACTAAAAGGCACAGGTTTTTTTTTTCTTTTTTTTTTTTTTGAGATGACAAAAACAATCTGGACTTAGGTGGTGATAATGGCTGCATGAGTTTGAAAGCAAACCAACCACAACTCATTGAACTGTATACTTAAACATAAAAGATATCCCATCAGTGGTAGTGGACACTTTTAATCCCAGCACTCAGGAGGCAGAGGCAGATGGATCTCTGTGAGTTCGAGGTCAGCCTGGTCTACAGATCAGATTCTAGGACAGTCAGAGTGGAACACAGAGAAACACTGTCTAGAAAAAAAAAACAAAAAACAAAAACAAGCAAAAACGAGAGAGGAGAGAAAGATTGATTGATTTTGGTATATATATATGTGTTTTGCCTACATGTATGTCAGAGGGATGGAGGCCAGCAGGAGAACAAGGCCCTCTGAATTGACTAAGCAAGGCACATATGAGCTCACATAGACTGAAGCAGTAAGCTTGGGTCTGTTTTTGTTTGCTTGTTTGTTGAGACAGGGTTTCCCTGTAGCTTGGAGCCTGTCCTGGAACTTGCTCTTGTAGACAAGGCTGGCCTTGAACTCACAGAGATCTGCTTGCCTCTGCCCTGAGTGCTGGGATTAAAGACATGTGCCACCACCGCCCAGCTGCCTGCTTGGATCTGCACCAGGTCCTCTGCATATATATTACAGCTATCAGCTTGGTGTTTTGATGGGGCTCCTGATTGGGAGAACTAGTGGATCTCTGGGTCCTGGGCCTGCTCTTGAGACTTTTCCTCCTGTTGGGTTGTCATGTCCAACTTTGATACGATAGTTTTTGCTTCATCTTTTTTTTTCTTTTGTATTTTGTTTTATTGTATGCTACAGCCATTATATATAAAATAGTTAATCCTTGTGAAACAGAAATCCATAAAGATTCAGAGAGGTAGATGTTAAGGATTGACAAATAAAGACTGTGTGTTATTATATATGTTAGAGAAGCTTCTGTACAAACTTCAGATCTAGGTCTCTTGAATATCCACTGGTTCATGAAAAGTGGTTTAAGAAACCTCAAGATTTGCTTCATCTTTTTATATTTTATTTTGCCATGTTTTGTGGTTATCTCTTAGAAGCCTGTTCTTTTCTAATGAGACAGAAAGGGAACAGATCCAGATGGAAGGGGAGGAGGGAGGAACTGGAAGGAGTACATAGAGGGAAACTATAATCAGGATATATTGTATGAGAAAAGAACCTATTTTCAATTTAAAAAAAAGGCTTGTTTTAGTTTATGTGTGTGGGTGTTTTTATTTTGGTAAAATACATGTAACACGG